GGCCGGACGGGCAGAGGCTCGGATCTTGGTTCCCAGACGTCGGCCGCGTGGTCTGACTCACTTGCCCCCAAGAGGTTTCACACGGAGGCCCGGGCCCACGGGACACGTGGGGAGGCTGCCCTGAGCCTGACAGCTGTGGTTCTCTCTCTATTGTAATGAAAGACCTGGAACATCCATCTGCCCTCACAGCCCAGCTGGGGCAGAGGCACAGGCCCAGGTCCTGCAGCCGCCACCGTCACCCCAGGACTCTCCATTTCCCAGACGGACCCTCTGCCCATCCCACACGAAGCCCCGCCCGCCCCCGCCTTCTGCTCATGGTCTGTGGGGCTGACACCCCAGGGGCCTGTGGAGGGGCCATCACGCAGGTTCGCGCACACACTGCCTGGCCCGTTCACAGAGCCAGGGCTCCTCCTGGTGCAGCCGGCGCCGGCTTCTTCCTTTCGAGGCTGAACTCCATCCACCCTGTAGATGGACCGCATCCTGCTAACCCGCCGTCCACCCATGGGCACGGGCTGCTCCGCCTCTGGCTGCTGTGAACAGGTGTGCAAACATCTGCTTCCAACAGAGCCCCTCCTTTCACGGTTCTGCACCGAGGGCTGGCCCCGCCCGGCCATGCACTGCTTCTGTGTGTAATTTCTTTGGAAAATATATTTTTATTGACTTCAGAGAGAGGAAGGGAGCGGGAGAGAGAGAGAAACATCTATGATGAGAAAGAATCGGTGATCAGCTGCCTCCTGCACACCCCACACTGGGGATCGAGCCTGCAACCCGGGCCTGTGCCCTGACCGGAATCAACAGTGACCTCCTGGCTCCCAGGTCGCCCTCAAGCCCTGAGCCCCGTAGCCGGGCTGCTCTTCCTGCTGTGGTGCAAGGGCTGGTTCCTCCAGGGAGGGGGCGAGAGGGCACCTCTTGCTTGTTACAGAGCCACGAGAAAAGCGCTCAGGACTTCACGGTGGACTATGTTAGCTGTAGGGCGTGTGAGGGCTTTATTTGTGGCTGAGAGCATGAGGCATATCTCTGAAATGTTTTTTAAAAAAAGTATATTTTACTGATTTTTTACAGGGAGGAAGGGAGACGGGTAGAGAGTTAGAAACATCGATGAGAGAGAAACATCGATCAGCTGCCTCCTGCACACTCCCTACTAGGGATGTGCCCACAACCAAGGCACATGCCCTTGACCAGAATCGAACCTGGGACCCTTGGTCCGCAGGCCGACACTCTATCCACTGAGCCACACCGGTCAAGGCTCTCTGAAATGTTTTAAATTCATTATCAGCCAGATATTTGTTGAGCACCTTCTAGGTACAGGTCCGAGTCCCACACCTGCCAGAGAGGAGGCAGACGGGTTCTGGCCTAGTTATCAGGGGAGACATCGGAAGAATGTATAAGTGACTCCATGACCCAATTTCCCTTGAGTCATTGGCCCCAAATCTGCTTCGCAAAATTGTGCAGATGTGGCTGAAACCGGACCCCGAGGCTCTCAGTGGGTCTGGACCTGTGCCCACGGGGACATGGTGACCAGGTCACCGGGGCCTCCTCACACCCCGTGACCCACAGAAGTCTGTGGCGCCAGGAAGGCCCCGGGGGATCGGCACGGCCCAGAGCCCGTGCAGTTGTGTTTCCCACCATCCGCCCACCGGTCTGCCCTTTGCCCACACGGGGGTCGCGCCCGAGCAGTCGGCAAAGGCGGAATTTGGCACACAGACCGGTGCCGCATCGGATCAGCACCGGCACCAGCACCCAGGACTGGAGCCGCTGAGCCCGGAGGGAGCACTGGGCACGGCCGTCTGGGGCCCTGTGCGAGCACCCACCCCCACAGGCGGCGTGGCCTCTGCGTCTCCGCCTCAGGGCTTAGTCCCCAGGCGCGTGCTCGTGGGGGCGATGAGAGGCCAGAGGCGGGGGCGGCCTTCAGAGCTGAGGATCCGTGTGGGGGCGGCCGGCACCGGGAGCAGCAGGTCCTTCGGGAACAGGAGAGTCCAGGGGAGCGTGCAGGGGCGGCTGAGCCGGCTCCTCCGGCCGAGGGGG